TGACCTTTTTGGTAATGACTATCAATAATGTTGCTATTTAGAAGTATTAATCTTTCCTGTTATGTATAGCATCACAATTAATATCGTTTTTATTTAGTTTTGATTTGAATTCATTCATGTACATGTTTTAATTAGGGAATAATATTATTGACAAAATACAATAAAAGTTTCAAAACAACTACCTGCCTTTGATTTAGCATGAAATTCATGCACAGGCGTGTCCAACCCTGACCATAAAATGCATATGGTGCATTTAGTTTTTGTCCTGTTACCTTTTGGTTAGCTATTTGGATTGTTCACCTGGTCATCCTGCATAGCAGCATCATAGCAGACATAACAAGTGGGGCTCCCATAGGCTACCCTATTGCTTGAGAGAAAAAAAGAGAAATCTGCACGTGCTTWTAATTTATTTATCGGCACACACCCTTTGTGAAATGGGGATTATCTGTCCAGAAAACGAACAAGCCCACAAAACAAAAAGTTGGGACTTTTAGCGTTAGAAGTTAAGTGCAAGGACTGCTTTAGCACCATGCTCCTCTTTGAAAAAGGATGTTGTTGCTTATTGCACAAACTAGTGTACAGGTCATTTAGAGCATGGTCAATACTAGTCATTTGTATGTCAACTATTGGGCCCTTCTGATCATGATAAGTGCCTAAAGCACAGGCAGACAAACTCTAACATGTACATCACACTATGTGCTGGTCAACATAGTAACTGTCTGTTGCCACTTTGCCATTAAATATATTAGATATTTATAAAATTCTGTTGGTAAGCTTGTGAGTTTTGGAGCAGACAATTCAGTTTCAGTCAAACCGACATATTGAAATTGCTTTCTTTGATAATTCAATTTATTGCAATGAAAATGGTTTGGTTTTATTGTTTATTGCTTGCTATGGATGGGTGTACCCTGTTGTTTGGCCTCATGGATTTTGACATCAATCAATCAATTATAAGTGGTAGATTGGTGATTAGCTGTCGAAATTTAACTGACAGACAATAAAAAACTTTGAAAATTACAAGATATAAATTATTTTGTAAAAACTTCAGTACATTTGTGCAGAGTTTCAGTTTAATGTCCTCAGACTAACATCCAAAACTTGCTTCTTTTCATGACAGATCTTTGATGAGACCCAGTGTCGCGATCAGGTCACTCAATATTAAAAAACCTTAGACATTCAGTCATTAACAAAGACTATTTGTGGTGTTTTAGAGTGAAGACATTTGTCTATTTGACTATTACACCTTGACTATTTTGATTCTTCTTT